ATAACTTAAGGCATAAATACATTGAAAGTGCACTAATTGATGCGACTTCCACAATAGATATACAACCTGTTTTTTTTTCCACTCAGCTCCATTCTTTAGAGAAATGCTTCTTTCGCAAATTGGTATCTTTCAAAATAACCACAAAAAACACATCTATGAACTGAACGAAAATGGTTAATTTACTGCATATAAAAGAAACAATAGTAATAGTGACAATAAAAAACTTATTATTATTGTGGTTGTTATGATTATTGTAAAAATTCTTTTTCAAATACTGGCTTAATAATAATTACATCTCTTAATGCCTACCTTAATTTCTTTCCCATCTCTTAATGTTGAAAATTTATCAAATATTTTTGAATGATCTCATATTGAATTTAAGCACATTCAGATTTCTTTTTATAAATAATTTCATTTTCAATTTGAAGCTTATAAAGGAATGAAACACATAGCAAAATAAGTTTTCCGATTTTGTCAGTTCAATTTATTGTCTTTCAGATATATTCATTTGTATCTCAATTTTTATATTTACATACACATATATTTACACACACACACACACACACACACACACAAACACACACACACACACATATATATATATATATATATATATATATATATATGCACACACACACATATTTTTACATATACACACACATTTAGATATACACACATATATACATACACATACACAAATCAGATAAGGATGAAAGTTCTCAGTCTGACCAAGAAGTCCTCCAAAAAAAAAAATAAAATAAAATGCTTGGTCATTTTGGGACAGCAAAGATATGAGGTTGTGAAACGTTTTCAGCCTGACATTTCTCCCAAAACCTAACCAAACATCAGCATTTGTTTTTAATTCTCTTTTGGATTGGGCCAACAACTTTTCAGCACATGCACACACTTCCAAATTCAGAAACTTCTTATACTGTAAATCTTTTGTATTTGAAGTGGTTTCCCAGGTTTGAAAAATATAAGAAAAAATAACAAATGTTTTGTACTTCATTTGACACAATCAGGAACCATTTATAAAATAAAGAAGATGAATTGGGCAGGCTGATATAAATTTTAATTTCCATAACCACTACCATAATAATTAATAAAGTGTTCTGCTGAATTTGCATCTTCAAGTGCTTTTCAGATGCTGTGGGTGTAATCGTGGGTAGATTGAGTGTACTGTCCTCCTAGACACTTCTGTTGACTTTTCATTAGTTCAGAGCTTCTTTTTTTTTTTCCTTTTAAGGCGTTCAGTGCAAAACATAAAAATGGAGTAATTAAAAGGTAGGCAAACAGATAGCATAGTGTCTGAATATGCAACTATTTCTCTCCTCAAATAAAGCCATAAAATGTCAACAAATGAGGCTCATATCTATGTTAGTTATTTCTCTCTTTTTTTTTTTTTAAAAATATTATTTCCTTTTTTTAGAGTGTGTATGGACACCAGATGTTAGCAAGGAGCTCCCAAGAGATGTTGCGACTTAATCGATATCGATGAAGTAAAGTTAGCTGCTTCGTGACTGGACTTAATTCCTAACAGTAGAAGGATTTTGTAAGCAGCCATTTTAGCCATAACAACATTTTGGTGGAATCTCAACCCTGAATATGTTGACAGAAATGTACTACTTCTGTCCCACATTATCCGTTACATTTATGTATCTTTTTCCTGAATAAAATGTAACTATTATGGGACAGAGGTAGCATTACTTTTGCAATGCATCAATTTTTTTTTATTTCTTTTATTTTCATAAATTTTCTTGTCTTATCTTTCAGTTGTTCTGGATGGTAGCTCTACTCAGCACCAAAAGGAAGGTTATGATATTCCTTGATGTCTGCAGTATATACCCAGGTAGTATTTACTATTTTTATATTCTTGATGGTCTTGTATCAGGTAAAGAGATTTGTATACATTTTGATTTTTGAGGATGTGTTGGTGTAACTGTTTCATTGTTTGGTGTTCAACTTGATTGTAACTAAATACATTTCAGTATTACAATATATAAGCTGTAGATAAATGCATAAATATAAGTATGCATGAATGTATGTATAGATTTTATGCATACACTTCCCTAAACATATGCATATAGATATTACTTATCTAAAATTTAAATGTGTACATCAGATGCGGTATTCACTCTGCAGAATTCCAATCAACATTTACGAGTCATATTTTACATCAGATGATTCGTTTTTTTTGACCATTAGAAATTTCTCATCTAAAATCAAACAATAAACCAACATTTGTGCAAAGGGCACTGTCTGTTTTTATCCCCACAAAAAAATTGTTAGTGCACATTCTACCACTGGTGGGAAAACTGTTTTACAGACTTAAAAGCACTTTAAACATTTTGCCTGCAGATGCCATTTGCAAACTGATGTATAATTTATCAATTAAGCTGCCTGAATCTTGGAGATGTTTGATAATGCCAGCTGATGCATGGTCAGCTGATGTATTTCATCTATATTTTTTTTCATGTTACTTATCATTGTTGAGTAATGAAGTTGATTGATTATAGTGATGCAAACACATAATGGAACAAATGAACAGAAAAGGGGCAAACATTTGAGAGTCAGGAGGATTGATAGATTGATTTGTTTTTCATGGCTTATCAACCCCCTTCTGGGGTAATTTAAAGCTGAAACATATTTTGCTTTATAGGAATAATTATTTTTGCTGTGAGTGAATATTGCAACCACAATTATTTGAGAATAACAATAATTTTTCCAGATACAAGTCCTACTTTTTAACACATAACTGGGGGGAGGAGATGGATTCATACCTTTCCCAAGAGTATTTGCACGTAATTGATTGTAACAAACTTGACTGGAATTTGAACCCGGGCCTCTGATTTCTGATTCCAAGCTGTGATCCATTATATCACCTGCACATCCCTGAGAGTCAGAAACCATTAACAAGAGAATATTAGCCTGAACTTGTCCCACATAAGGCATTTTAAAACAGCATCAACCTTTCTTCTGTCCCTGTACAGAGGCAGCTCAAATCTACAGATGTCGCATTGTGAAATATGCTAGTGTGTAAACCTGACCCCTTAAAATAGGAAATTTATTAGTGTCTGCCATTAACAGTGTGACTAGACATTGGTTGGGTAGTTAGTCGATTGGTTGGTTGATTTTGTTTAGTGGCATATCAACCTCTATGGGTTATGTAAGGCCAAAATCTAAATATTTTGAATGCAATTATATACTTTCAACTACAGATAAAATGTATTGTTGGTCATTCTACTATGAAATGTATTGCTGGTCATTTTGCTTCAAAAATGTATTGTTGGTAATTTTACTATATAAATAGGTATTGTTGGCAACTTTATATAAAATGTATTGCTGGTATTTTTACTATAAAAATGTATGTTTATAATTTTGTAGTATTTTGTTTTTGTCTGGGTGTTCAATATTTGCCCTTAGCTGGGAGCCTAACAAGTGCTGCCACCCCGGGTCAGGATGAACCTGGGAACAACAGCAATTAAAAGGTGGTTCCATGCTCCTCCAAATCTCCAATCTCACCATCAGAAGTTTTGCTGCAGCATGTAGTTTATCATCATACCCAGGTGACTAGCCAGGTTTATTTATTTTTATATAAGCTGATATTTATTTGAAAGCTTGTGCATGATTAAGTTTGATCTTAATAAATACCACAACAGTTAATGTCATCAGACTGATGCAACACTGTGCATGCAATCTTTAATATCAACACTATCTTCCAAATGCTTTAACGGTGCTGATTTTATCAAATAGGAACAAAGTACCAAGATGGAAGATCTCGGATGACTAGATCAAGACAAGATGCCAATGTTTATCATTTGCTGACAAGCATAACAGACGGCAGCATCTGTTGCTAAAAATTTGCCCCAGAGGATATAATTTCTAATTCTTTTTTATGATCACAGTTACTGCAGAGTGTTTACCACAACAAATTCAATGTTAGCACAGATAATTTTCCAAAAGGAACTCGAATGGTTTGAGTTCTCAATGACCACATCTTATCCTGGATTAAAAACAACCACCATGAATAAACAGAGTGCATTATTCATGAAAATTCACTGGTCAGGTCTGCCAAACAGATGGAGTGTCCACTTGACAGAAACACTACTGATCAGCCCCACTCTCAAAAATGTCCGAAAGACAAAAACAATAATAAAAACAAATGTAGTATCCACAAGGGTTTGTACTACAATTTTTAAAGCCATTTCTGATATTTTAGCTTCTCTAAAAAATTTCCTTTTCATTTTTTTCAGTTAAATCATGCAATAAATTATGGTGAAATATGGCACTGTACTTGTAGTCAATGTTTGCTATACATGTTACCTTCTGTATAATATTGTACAATTAAATTTGCAAGAAATAGAAGTGACCTTTGACTCATGAACAGATTAACTTACAGACAAACATCCGGAAACAAATATGTTCCGAACATAACTTACTGTCTGTGGATAAGTCCTTGGGTTAGTTGGGAGGAGGGACAGGACCGAGAGGAGGAGGAGGAGGGACAGGACCAAGAGGAAGAGTTAGGAGAATAACAGGCTGGTAAAGGCTGAGTTTAATTATAGTACAATCAACTCAAAACTCTTGCCCTAACTGAGATGTTGAAGTGGGGAGGGCAGGTGAAATGCATAGCATCAAGGCAGAAATAAAAGAAAGGAAAATCAACCCTCCACTCTGCCCTCCACACTCACCATTAAGCCAAAAACATGTCTGATCGATGACTAAAGTCATTAAATCATTTTAACAGGAGTTTGCAAGTTACCCACCAAAATGAATAATGAGGTAGTCATTTGTTAGATTGAAATCTATAAAGGAAAAAAAAAGTTATAAAAGATAAAACTTCACTTAAAATGAATGTGAAGTTGTGTATGTATCTATCAGTGGTTTGGGACGCTCATTGGGATTTGGAGCATCCATGGGGACATTAGGATGGTTTATCTGGTATCGGGAATCCATTGGTGGATTGTGACGGTTAGATGGGTAAGTGGAATCCATGTGTGGATTGTGGTGAATACTGGGATATGCTGGATCCATGGACAGATTATGCCGGATACTGGAATAAGCAGGTTCCATTGATGGATGTGGGCGGTTAGTAGGATAGGTAGACTCCATGAAGGGGTTAGGGTGAGTGGTAGGATTAATGGTGTCCATAAGAGTTTTGGGACGTTCAATGGAACTTGTAGACATCATGAATGGATTTGGGCGGTGAGGAGGGTTTAGTGTATCCATAAACGGTTTTGGGTGTTCAATGTGGCTCATGGTATCTAGGAAGGGTTTTGAGTGTTCAACATGCCCCATAGTATCCAAAAAGGGTTTTGACCGCTCCACATGACACATGGTATCTATAAGAGGCTGGGAGTGTTCAATGTGGCTGGTAGTGGTAGTAGTGGAAGCAGCAAGGGATTTAAGACGCTCAACATGACCAATGGAGTCAATAAGAGTTTGTGAGTGCTCAATATGACTGCTTGTCGTGTTTGTAAGAGACTGCTGTCTTTCAATATGGCTCATGGTGCTTATAAAGGGCTTGTTGGAGTGCTCAATATGACTCATAGTGTCAAGGAGTGATTGTGAACATTCTCTATGGTTAACAGTGTCTGTGATGGGGTGTGAATGTTCAACTTGACTCATTGTATCTATAAGTGGTTTGGGTCGTTCAATGTGGCTTAATGTATCTAGAAGCGTTTTGGGCCGTTCAATATGGCTTATTGTATCTATAAGTGGTTTGGGACGTTCAATATGGCTTATTGTATCTATGAGTGGTTTGGGACGTTCAATATGGCTTATTGTATCTATGAGTGGTTTGGGACGTTCAATATGGCTTATTGTATCTATGAGGGGTTTGGGCCGTTCAATATGGCTTATAGTATTTGAAAGCAGCTTGGGTCGTTCAATATGACTCATTGTGTCTGTGAGTGGCTTGGGCCGCTCAATATGACCCATAGTATCTATGAGTGGCTTGGGCCGCTCAATATGACCCATAGTATCTATGAGTGGCTTGGGCCGCTCAGTAAGACCCATGGTATCCGTGAGTGGCTTGGGCCGCTCAATATGACCTATGGCATCTATGAGTGACTTGGACCGCTCAATAAGACCCATGGCATCCGTGAGTGGCTTGGGCCGCTCAATATGACCCATGACACCCATGAGTGACTTTGGCTGCTCAATGTGACTTATTGTATCTGTGAGTGGTTTGGGGCGCTCAATATGACCCATAGACTCTGTGAGTGGCTTGGGTCGTTCAATATGACCCACTGATTCTGTGAGTGGTTTGGGCTGTTCTATATGGCTTACTGTATCTAGGAAGGGCTTTGAGTGTTCAATAGGGTTCATAGCATCAATGAGTGTGTGTGAGGGTTCAGTGCAGTTAACAGTGTCTGTGAGGGGTTTTGGCCTTTGGTTTATGATGTCAATTGGTGACTTATGGAGCTCTCTTCCTCTTGTAGTCTCCCTGAAAGATTCTGGAGACTCAACTCTGTTCACTGTATCTCTAGAGGGTTTAGGTGACTCAACTCTGCTCATAGTATCAAGAAGGGGTTTTGGAGAGTCAACTCTTTTATCAGTGTCACTATGGGACTCAGCTGACTCAGAGGGAGACTTGTGGCACTCAGACCAACTGGTAGAGCTAATATGAAATTTGGACTGTTCACTCTTACTTAAAGTACCTGCATGAGTTCTAGCGCGTTCAATCCGACTCAAATTTTGAGCTTTTTGGCGTTTAACATAATGACTTTTAATATATGTTTGGCTCTTTGAGCGTTTACTATATCTACTAGATTCTATAAGAGGCTTAGGACGCTCAATAAGGCTACTTGTGTCTGTGAGGGGCTTGGGACGTTCAACAGTGCTAACACTATCTGTGAGGGGCTTTAATTTTTCTATAGAGCTAATTTTGACTTTAAGAGGCTTTATACGCTCTACAGAGCTAGTATCTCTGAGGGGTCTGGGGCGCTCAACGCTCTTAGTTTCCACTGGAGAGTTGGAATCCTCATTAGAATCAGTAGAATCTATGGGAGTTTTGGGGCTTTCTGTGGAGCTTGGGGAATCAGAGAGTGGCTTGGGGGATGCAGAGGAGTCTGAGGGATTAGTAGATTCATCCAAGTCAGTATTTGCTGGCAGAGTGGGCTTTTTATCCTGAATGCCAACTGTGTCTCTAGTATGGGAGTGCGAATGCGTGTTTAACTCACTCTGCGTATAGAAAATGCTGGAGCATATTTCGCAGGAAAATTTCTTCTCTGCCACATGTATCCGCATGTGTCTCTGTAAGCTACTGTTCTGAGAAAAGCCCTTCTCACATATCTGACAATGGAATGGTTTTTCTCCAGTGTGTGTGCGCATATGTGTAATTAAGATATTGTTCTGGCTGAAGTCTTTGCCACACACCTCACAAAGAAAAGTTCGGTCACCTGGTTTGGCATTGGCTCTTCTAGGGTGCACTAATGGCTTTTCGCGGTTATGTGTCTTCATGTGTGAACGTAGGGAGCTACCTGTGAAGAAACCCTTGTCGCACTTTTCACAAATGAAGTTCTTCTCACCAGTGTGAATTTTCATGTGAGTGTGTAGAGAACTGCTTGTAAAGAAACCTTTTCCACACTTTGTGCATGTAAAGGGACGCTCACCAGTATGTGTCCGGATGTGTGTGTGGAGATAAGTGCTTGTAGAGAAGCTTTTGCCACATACGCCACAGTGAAATGGGCGTTCACCTGTGTGAGTACGCATGTGTATATGCAAGCTGATATTCTGTGTGAATCCTTTTTCACAGATTTCACAGTGATATGGTTTCTCCCCTGAATGAGTCCGCATGTGAGTGTGCAGGTTGCTCTTCTGTGAGAAGTTCTTTCCACACACTTCACAGCTGAAAGGTTTCTCTCCTGTATGTGTCCTCATGTGCTTGTTTAAGTCAGTGCGTGCCAAGCAGTACTTGCCACAGACATTGCAATTGAAAGATTTTTCAGAGTTGTGTACCTTCATGTGCCGTATCAAGTCTGCCTTGGTTAGGCAGTACTTCTCACACACGTCACAATGAAAGGGCTTCTCTTGAGCACTCATTTTACTGTGACCAGTCTCTGTCTCTTCTGCTTCAATAGGATCCAGGTTTCTGGTTTGGGTAAGGAGGACAGTCTCACGTTTTAATACATTCTGAAATTAAAAAAGAAAGAAGACAAAACAACCAAAACATTACTGTCTGAATTTCTGGAATGAGAAGTTATCTTTATTTACATTATTTACATTCAGACTAATGTCCTCATCTTTGTTGTTGTTATCCCAACATTTCAGCCAGGTTATCCAGATTGGCAAGCACCTGAACAAAGATAAGAACTGGCAATGGCCATTCATTTCTGAGTATGCCTGTGTGCTAGGAAAGCTAGCCAATCCCTGTTGATGACGCCTGCTCAGTCACATTTGTATTGGTTCAACACCCAGAGAGTCCACATATAGTTTATACTGCAACTATGCTGAGTGGGCATTAGTTATAGTTTCTGGTAGAGAGCACATCATCTGGTGTGAACAAGGCAGTATGCTCAAACCCTTAGTCACAGAGAATTGTGACTTCATGATAGTGCAGCCATCAACAGCATCTGAAAAATTTGTCTCCCCAACTTCAATCACTTGGGTCAACACATGTTAGGGTTTTCAGGCAATTTGCAAAGGTGCCACATGCTGAGATCACCTCCCCAGGCTGATAACATCAAGAAGTGACCTTCCTGACTAACTGATCATGAGGTATTCAAATCTGGATTTAATGTTTGGAAAGCAAATTTTCTAACTGCTCAGCCATGCACCTACATAAAAACAATAGTCAGAATGTAAATAATATAAATAACCCAAGATTATAATGAAGAAAAAACAACAAAAGAAAAGTAACATGCATAATATTTTTCTAGACTGTTTTCAGAGAAACCGAACTCATTCTTAATAGGAGGGACCCCCCTTTAATAATACATTGGGCTCGTACAACAGAGCCAAACAAACATTTGAAGCTTCTGAACACCCTGAATAATTTTCAGCTCATTTATGGAACTTTATTAATGTTATTTATACTTGAGAAAAAGATTAAAACAAAACTGTCACATTTCTAATTAAAGAGTAGTGGTTTAGGTTTAGAAACCCTGACTTGCAGTGATGAGATGAAATTCCTGAAAAGAACTTAAATTTTGCATCTAACCCATTTAGATCATGATTTTCTGATAAATACAAGGTATTTTTTTTTATCAATTTAGCCCAAGCAAGGTGATAATGCCACTAAAATTCAAGGGGCTACTGGAAGTGAAAGAGAAGGAAAAGACTTTAGAAGGAACTGGAAACCCAATCCTAAACATAAAATAAGGGATAAACCTCTACTCATGTTCAAAAGGCTGGAGAGTTATGTTGAAAACTTATAATTGGTGCCTGGCATATAGTGCCAAAAGTGGGTAATAATCAATTTAAAATGTTTAACATGAGTATGGCTTAAATATCTTGCTAAGAATAATTTTCTTACATTTTGCAGACTTAAATTCCTTTAATATTTGGGAACCTATACTAAAATAAATATATATATATATATATATATATATATATATATATATATATATATATATATATATATGCTTTATTGAATATAACATACAAAGACATTTCAACCTCTTGCTCCTATAAGAAAAAAAAAAACACAATACATCTAATTGTAAAAACATAATAGAAAGACTTTTTATGAAATAATACAAAATTATGCTCAACAATATTTGCATTGAAACTAGTCACATATTATATATTAATAAATATACATTTTTTTTCCTCACCAGTAGTACAACTGAGTTTCATGCACAACACTATCTTCAGGTGCTGAATTAAGACAAACTGTTGTATAATTTAAATATGTTAAATTATCATAATGATTGGGCAGTCCATATTTTATACAGGGGATTGTTATTTAAAAAAAAAACACAAAGAACTTTATTTTTACATTTAAAATAAACATAAATTGAAAAAAGTAATAACACACACATTCACACAAATTACTTCAAGTTATAAAGGTAGAATTATAATTTAAATATAAATATACAGATCTAAGTATTTACAAAAATAATTCATAATACAGAGTTATTCGGCAATATCCTGGCACAACTACATAAGTAAATTATTATATATATATATATATATATAGTGTATTGGGGCAGCATATCATTATTTAAATATATATTATTAAATATAACAGACAATGAATGTCTACTATGTCAGATCTGTTCAAATATTTGCTTTAATTTCTGGTGAAAATAAAGACAAAAAATGTCCAACATTTGGATATTTTTTTTATTAAGTTGGTCCTAAGAAATTGAAGCAAAAATTTGAACATTAGAACAGCTCATGATCAGACATAATACACATTCATTGTCTGTTATATTTAATAATAATAATAATATATATATATATGTGAGAGAGAGAGAGATGAATGAATTATGAAAAATAAATAAATATCTATATAACCAGTACACACTCATATGCAAAAAAGTAAACATAACTACATTCACACAAATTACATAGTTTGCATTACAAAGGTAGAAATATAATCTAAATATAAATATACATATACACACATAAGTAATTATAATAAAATAATATACAGCTAATCACCAATATCATGGTATATCTACATATTAAAATTATTATATATATATATCATATATATATATATATATATATATATATATATATATATATATATATATATAATAATATGAGGTATATATATATATATATATTATATAATAATATGAGGTATGAAGGGGTAAAAGAATGCAATAATACACACACATCCAAACAAATTACACATGTACATGAAATACTAAACTAAGTTAGTGCGTATTTACATATCAAAAATGTTTTGATAAAATATTTCCCCCCAAATAAATATGCTTCTGATTAATACAGAGAACATATACAAGTTGCAGATACTACACAAAAAACATAAGAGATACCAAGCCCCCCCCACACACACACACACGCAAACATATACATCCTACTCATATAATAGAATTGGCACAATACATGTTGTGACTAATATGCATTTAATATAAATATGAGGTATGAAGGGGTAAAAAAATGCAATAATACACACACATCCAAACAAATTACTTACTTCAAGTTACAAAGGTAGAATTATAATTTAAATATAAATATACAGATCTAAGTGTTTATTAAAAAATATTATGTAATATTATTCACCAATATCATGGCACGTCTACATATCTAAATTATTATGGATATGGTATATCCAAGCTGTAAAGACCTGAACTGGTGGAACTAAAGAATAAAGTACATTTGAACATTAAATGAACATGAAAAGCAACACAATCTTCTTAAACCTAGTTTTCCCTTATTTGGCTTTGTACATAATAGAAATTAGCTCATTAAAAATGCTTTAATTATTAATTTCTTTTTGTAATAATTGTATAATGACCCACACACAAAGACCTTTTTTAGTCACCTGTCAACACTGTTCTCTTTTCACCTGTAAGTACTGATTTATCTAAGTAATACTT